CCACTTTCTTGTGATCGTCACATACTCCCCATACACTCTTCTCCCTCCTCCTCCCCTTCTCTTTCCCCAGTCGCCTGCACTCCAACAACCTGCAGTGTGACTGCCACGTGGCCTGGCTGTCAGAGTGGCTGCGACAGCGCCCCCGTCTGGGTCTTTACACGCAATGCATGGCCCCACCACACTTGAGGGGGCACAACGTGGCTGAGGTGCAGAAGAAGGAGTTTGTCTGCACAGGTAGGTTGAGTTGACACCTTTGCTTTGTCTATTTTTCAGTCTTTTTTTTATGACTTACATCCGCTTGCTGTTTTACAGTGGCAAACCCATCTTTTGCTTTGTCTCGTTTGCTTTTTCTTACTGTATTTGGTCATGCTTTTCAAGATGGGGACGAAGGCAAGTGTTCATCTTCCATTGCATGGCTTGGCTTTAACCCCACGCACAAGCACTTACTAAAATATGTACTGAACACATTTTCTGCACAGCACTTTATATACAGCACAAAGAAAATAATACTGTAGAAGGAAAAGGTCACTATCACATTTAGGGGCAGTATCTCTATCTCACCAACACACTTTGTTGCCTGGCTGCTGTTTCACATTTTGATTTTCTTCACTGAATTCTGTCAGCTTCAATATTCTTCGCCTTTGGGATTTACAACAAGCATAACTATTATCCATAGATAATGTTGGTCCTCTGTCTCTGTGTAGGTCACCAGTCGTCATCGTCTTCCTCCTGCAGTGTGTTACAGTGCCCAGAGTCCTGCACCTGCAGTAACAACATCGTGGACTGCAGAGGGAAAGGACTAACAGAAATACCCACCAACCTGCCTGAAACCATTACTGAGATGTAAGGCACACATATATAAACACATACACACACACCTGCTGTACTCGGCATGCATATACATGCACACACAAACTCCTGCATCCATGCTCGGTGCAGTGATATTTCTCTTGCTGTTTCACTGTGCTTCTCTCAATTTTCCTTCTTTGTCTCTTTCCACCTTTCTGTTTCACTACTTCTCTTTCTCCCTGTGCAGTGGAATAAAACCACACATCTGTGAAATGAGAAAGCCTGGTCATGCAGCTCTTCCCTGCTTAAGAAAATAATGAAGGGATGAGGGAGGAAGAATTGAAAGATTAATCTGAAGGACAAGACAGATCATATCTCTATCTAAAGGGATGCATCAAGAAATGAGGAAGGATTAGAACCAGCAGATTTAAAGTAACAAAATATAGGACTCGAGACATGACGTGGACTAGACTTGACTCTAAAGACTTGAATTGAGAACAAAAACATTAAAGTCTCAAGTTATGGTCTGGTAAAACCCTGGAAAAAACTAAATAACAGTGCTATGTAGCCTTTACATGGCCACACAACTTGAATATTGCATTACAACATCTAACCATTGAAGGGAATTAGTGACCAAAAGCTGTTTACAAAGCTTTGAATGCAAAATGTTTAAATGCTGTGCCAATTTAATGGTAAGCATTCAAAGACCTTGGCACCAAGCCTGCGTGTAGTTGACAACCCGCTGACTTCACTTGACTTGTCTTGATTGATTTGACAAGACTGTGAGACTTGACTTGAGACTTGATTTAATAAGACTTGACTTGTACTTGTCTTGGTTTATTCAAGACATGACCTGAGCTTTTCTCAATTGACTGGAGATTTGAAACCTGCTTATACATATCTGCTGATTATAGACTTGACTTGTACTAGTGTCAATTGACTGGAGACTTGACTTGGACTTGCGCCAAATGACTTAAAAACAGAAAACAATACAATACAATGCTCCTGTGTGATAAGTCAAACATGTCCATACTAAAGAAAAGAGTGGAGCACAGCTGAACAGAAGAGAACAGCAAATGAAAAACAAACTCATTTTAGGGAAATGTTTCACAATCGAATGGTTGGTTTGCAAATCATGTTCCACCGCCTTTCTTGTCACACTGACTGAACATGTGAAATGTTTAGAGAACAGTTGTTTGGGTCTGTTTTCTCTTTTGTTTGCTCCCTCCCACTCTCTTTCTCTTTTCTGGCCTGGCTTGATTTGTTTGGGCCTGACCGACACAGAGTCAGACTGGCACTTAATGGAACACTGCCCAGATAGTTAAGGGTGTGTTTGCTTGTGTGTTTGTGTGTACGTCTGACTGTACACATGTTAAAGAGGGCAAAAGATCAGAGAGATGTGACAGACTTTGGCAACGGTCATCAAAGCGCCTTATCTGGAATTGTTCCCCTTTAGTCACAGCCCCCGGGAATGAGCAGCAGTCAAGGATACAGCAGAGATAGCTCTGTGATAGGGGAATGTTAATGTCGCTCCTCAATGGTCTGTGTGTATGTTTGGTTCCAGACGACTGGAGCAGAACGCCATCAAGGTGATCCCAGCTGGGGCCTTTTCTCCTTATAAGAAGCTGCGCAGAATGTGAGTAGATGAAGAGATAGATGTATTATGCACCCTGTCAACCATCTACAAAAACTTTATGTTTCTGTCCTGTTTGTGGCTTGTGTTGACCTCCGTGTTTCACTTATCATGTTTCTATTTCCCTCATTAACTCCTTCTTTGGTTCTACGCCACTCTTTCCTGTTTCTTTGGCTCTGTTCTTCACAGAGACTTGAGTAACAACCAGATATCGGAGTTAGCTTCGGACGCCTTCCAAGGTCTGCGCTCCCTCAACTCTCTGTGAGTACTGTGTGATATGTTTGTATTTCAGATAGAGTTTACACAAAACACCACAGTTTAGCCCTTTGAATCTCACAAGCAATATCAATCGTATTACCACTCCAAAATCTGTTGTTGTTTATCATAACTTGTTTTTTGTTCTTCCAGTTGTAGCTATAACTTCTATCTGTTATGTTAACACGCTCACAAAGTTAAATTATGAGTCCTGGGAGCACAATAATATCAAAGCGAGCAAGAAGGATGAAAACACAAGCAGTCAGACAAGCCAACAGTTCAGTCAAAGTATCTAAAGCAGTTTATTTTGAGGAAAAACCAAAAGTGAGCACATCTGAAATGATCCTTCATTGCAGGAAAAGGACAAATGATCATAAAGTATGCTAGGTGCAAGTTGAATTAGGAAGTCGGTCTGTGTATTGTGATGGATGTTTACAGTAGGATTTAGTGGTAATAATAAATAGAATTTAATATATTATTATTGAATATAATAATAATAATAATAAACAATGTGTCTGCCTGCTCCATCATAAACTGCAAACATTAGCATGCATGGCTAACTATTAACCTATAGTTGTATTACTTCCAATGGCGAGAGTTAGCATATTATGAGCTTACTACATCAAAGGTTACGTTAGAAAACCTCCATTCACTAACAGATCCAGTGCATGGGAGCCCGTACATCTCCAATCCCTGATGTCAAGGGTTTAATTCAAACATTTTTAAACAAAAGCAAAAAGGAGTTGTTTCTTCATTCTTCCTTTCTGTTTCATAAGTTATGGCTAAGCTGGGGATTTATTTAAAACATTTGCATGCTCGTGTTTTTTGCTTTGTTGGACTTCTTATCTTATTATTATAATTAGAACTAACAACAAATCATAATAATAAATCTAACAGCAACATTTTGAAAATAAAGAAACTAGAATTACCTTTTATTTGTGGCCTCACATTTGGAGAGAATACCACACCAAGGCATTTAAGATGGACTTTTGACAACTAATGGTGGTGCTGCTGGCTTCCTCTTCAGCCTGAATCTCAGGTTGAACCATCTGCTTTGCGTGTGAAGCTTTGGGAAGAAAGACGGAGAGTGGAACAGGGAGAGCAGGAATGTAGAGTTATTTCATGAAGGAGTTATATTAAGGTCTCGTCTCTCCAAAGTCAATAATTCATAAATGCTGAATTGCTGAATGGAGGCTTCTGCCACCTCATTACACATTCACCACAGAGAGAATGGGACACACACATTCATGCTGACACACCACATACAGTATGGCTTTCACATTAAGCTGTACTCTGTGTTCATTGTGTGTCAGGGTTTGGTTAGAGAGGATGTACATGAGCCATCGATTCTGTCCGTGCGTGTGTCAGTGCATCTGTACGTGTGTGTGTGTAGGCGCTCGAAACAGTACGTGCTAATGTGTGTGTGAGACATAAATGAAGCGTCCACTCCCGGCATCGTGTGTTTCCCAACCTCAGGTCTCTCAGGGACAGCCACTCAGCACAATGAAATAAAAGCCAATCTGAAACACATGTTTTTAGGCTGCCTACATACACAGCTTAACTCAGCGTGGAGCGTAAAGATGACTGATAACTCTCCGTGTGTGTGTGTGTG